CAAAGAAATCCTTACTTGTACCACTTCTTTCTCCAGCCGTCTTGAAATGTTGGTGACATAGAGATTAACTTCATTCTTATGAGGACGAAAAAACTCGATAAGTTCAACTGATGAGTCTGCCATGTTTGTTTTGAACTTCCCGCGCGCTCCCGCGTATCGTCCGACAACTCAGCGGTATTTTAGTTAGAGAAATTGTCTGGTGGTGTATCAATCATATAGTGGTTTTCTGTGTACCGAGGGCTTGAAGGAAAATAATTTTTAAGGTGATTTCTTAGTATTGCATTGCGCATCCCTACTGTGCACGATGTTCGCGTCATTAGCGTCTCAAACTCCCTCAAACGAAGCTCGATAGCAAAATAAATGCTCCTTTTCTCTTAAACGAGCACGGTGACCCCCACTTTTTATTTCATAATTTCAATGAGAACAATATAGTCAATAACTAAGAAAAAAAAATAGCAGAAATCTATGGCTACTTTTTTGGCAAGTGAAATAAATACTATTAAAGATTGAAGCGTAGCCAGGATGAGACATAATTAAAATTAAAATAAAAACGTTCGCTGGCTAAAAAGTTTCAAAAAGAACATGAGCTTTCGGCTGTCAATCTACAGCCCGCGACGGATAAAAATGGAACGCAAAAGGATAAAATGCATGCAAAAAAGGCGAGATAAAAATAATAAGAAGAACAAAATCAAAGTAAAAATGTGTAAATTAGGTGACTATTTTTTTTTTTAAACAATCAAAGAAAGTCAAACCCTGCGTGATATAACACGCTGCATTGGAAAATAATCGAGCTTATTTGTTGCGCACGGAGATTACCAAAAGTCNAAGCAGTTTCACCTGAATCATTGAAAACGACAATTCTTATTGTTCAGTTGTACACCATTTTTGTCCATATTATATGTCAAAGCATCTTATTATACACAAAGAAATCCTTACTTGTACCATTTCTTTTTCCAGCCGTCTTGAAATGTTGGTGACATAGAGATTAACTTCATTCTTATAAGGACGAAAAAACTCGATAAGTTCAACTGATGAGTCCGCCATGTTTGTTTTGAACTTCCCGCGCGCTCCCGCGTATCCTCCGACAACTCAGCGGTATTTTAGTTAGAGAAATTGTCCTGTGGTGTATCAATCATATAGTGGTTTTCTCTGTACCGAGGGTTTGCAGGAAAATAATTTTTAAGGTGATTTCTTAGTATTGCATTGCGCATCCCTACTGTACACGATTTTCGCGTCATTAGCGCCTCAAACTCCCTCAGACTAAGCTCGATAGCAAAATAAATGCTCCTTTTCTCTTAAACGAGCACAGTGACCCCCACTTTTTATTTCATACTTTCAATGAGAACAATATAGTCAATAACTAAGAAAAAAAAAATAGCAGCAATCTATGGCTACTTTTCTGGCAAATGAAATAAATACTATTAAAGATTGAAGCGTAGCCAGGATGAATTAAAATTAAAATAAAAACGTTCGCTGGCTACACCGTTTCAAAAAGAACATGAGCTTCCGGCTGTCAATCTACAGCCCGCGACGGATGAAAATGGAACGCAAAAGGATAAAATGCATGCAAAAAAGGCGAGATAAAAATAATACGAAGAACAAAATCAAAGTGAAAATGTGTAAATTAGGTGACTATTGTTTTTTTTAAACAATCAAAGAAAGTCAAACTCTGCGTGATATAACACGCTGCATTGGAAAATAATCGAGCTTATTTGTTGCGCACGGAGATTACCAAAAGTCACCTAAATAACCGTATTTGTCAGCATTGTGGCATGAAAACAAGCACGGTGACCCCCTCT